TTTGACTTTTTGCAGCAACCCTTCTTCAAATCAGACATTCATTTTATACAATTTATCCCTAAAATGGGAAGTGGGTCAAATTTGACTCCCGATTTGTGGCATTTTGACCAAAGTATTGACCCAGTGAATTATGATACTGCCCTCTAGTGTGTCTGTTTTTAGTTTTTTCCACCCACGTTCTTAGTTTTTCTCAATCGTAAACGTTGCGAATCGGGTCATGCACTTTTTTTACAGTTTCGTCATCGACCTGCAACGAATATCATCATCGGCGAATCCAAGCCACCGCTCCGGACTTGTTGCGAGAGCTCTCCCGCGGGGGGTCGCGGGGAACTCGCAAGGGGGTTGCGGGGGCCCGGGGCGAGGGGGAGGGTTCTGGGGCAGGGAATTAGGGGTACGAAAGCGGGCTCCGCGTCCCGACTCCCAACATCCAACCCAAATCCAGTTTTTCCCAGTTCCAGGCGGGTAGTTGCCCCATTTCACAACTGTTACGCTGTCCTAGATTCCTTCTCCTCTCGCTTCGCCCCCACCGGCGCACGGTGGATCTAGAGTCCCTTTATACTGAGAGTCAAGACAATGCGAATCCATTTCTGATTGGTTAATCGTATTTTAGGCCTTCACAGTGTCACAAACGGGAATAAAGATTACATTTTTGCCGATTGAAAAGATTATAATCTGGAATGGACCAGGGAATTACGGGTTCGGCAAGGAACAAACGGAATGAGGGAAGGAACGAAGAAAGGAATTTGAGAATGGGCCGATCAAAGATTACGAAAAACGTTCAATTTCTGTAATCTTTATTCCCGTTTGTGACTCCATGGGGGGTGTTGTCTTGACTCTGAGTATAACGGGACTCTAAGTGGAACGAGCCAATCAGAGAGGTCGGACATGACATTTTTAGCCTGTAACTGCAAATTTTGGTGTTATCTCGTCACATTTTACATTTCAAGGGGTGCTTCAAGTAGACAATTTTACGAGAAAACCAATGGAACCACTTTTGGAGCCTCAAAGCTTTGTATAGACGGAGTTACAGGCGTTTAAAGTTTTCAGATTTCGTCCGACCTCTCCTATTGACTCGATCCACTGTGCGGCGGCGCAGCGCCCCCGAGACCCCCCGCAGCCTCCCTTTAATCGGCGATAGGGTACCCGGTCGCCTAGTTACGCACCCCCGCCACCCCCTCCCGCCGAGTCTTGCCGGTTCTCGTGGAGTAGTTTTTCTCTCGATTTTGTATCCAGGTCGACGCTTGAAATCTGGATCTCGAAAGCCGCGTCTTCACGCATTTGCCTTTTAAAACGCTCCACTTGATACCGCGATGTTCTCCTTCGGTTGTGCCTGAATTTTCTCGAGCTTTTAAAGGTAATTTATCGGGGAACCGGAGATTACGCACGAGTTTGGAAATGGGTCATTCTCATATTACGCTTCATAGAATCTTGTTTTGATGTGGGGGAATCTAAGTTATTTTGTAATAAAAAATAATAGGATCCTCTTAAGTGGTTGTTTTCTTGGCACGTTTAACTTATCGCTTCACCAGATTAGTGGTAAATGGCGTCATCCATGATATCGGCGCTCACCCTAGCTCAAATCAATCGTCTTATCAATAGTAATGGAGTCGAACAAAGCCCACCTTAAGGAGAAAACTTACTCAATATATTCCGTAATTTTTTAAATTTTCGAAGTTTAGGTGCCCCTCTGTATCATATCAGCAAATATGGGGGAAGGGGGATTCTTCGGGGTTTTTTGGTGATCGACTACCCGAGGAAACTTCTTTTCCCTGAGCCTCTACGTCAATTTATTCAGGGATATTGAGAAAGGGGTCCACCCCTTTGGGGGTCAACATTTCGAACATGACTTGACCGATTTTGGAATGCTTTGTATCGTTCTTCGTCCTCTCTGAATCTGATGGAATAATCTAAAAATGTTGACGGGAATCCCAATTGTTACAGCCAAAACTCCCCCCCTCCCTCCCCCAGAGAGGCCAGGGGAGCTTGTAATTTGGGGGCCGTGTAATTTGAACTCTTTGGGGTTGCTTTCCCATTCGTCCTCGCAGTCTACAACTTCACCTGACCCAAAATTACCGAGAAAAAGCCTGGTCAGGGTAGTTGGGGACACCCTGTAGGTTTGTAACTAAGACACTGAGAAATGGATCGTCCAGCGGTCATTTCCTCCTTACGAAGGCTCTGTACTCGAAAACAGGAGGAGGAGGATCTCCCTTCGTAACTCCCTGTAAAGCGACTCCACGATAAGATGGTGGACGGGGAAGATGGGATGGTGGATCGATAAGCCGTCAGGACGTCTCTGGGAAATAGGTGCGATACGGTGTCGATGTCAGTGTCAGGGACTGCGAGAAGGCGGTGGCGGGAAACTTGGCCGGCCCGGCACCGGCGACGACGCCGACGCCAGCGCCCCGAGCGGCCGCTGCGGGAACCAACGCAAGTTCTTTGTCTCAATGGAAGTGCATCTCGGAGCCACGTGTAGAGAGAGGGGCGAGGATCCCAAGCCGGGGGTGAGGATGGGGGATGGTGGATGGTATGAGTCGGGGGAGGGACACCCGCGGAATGCTGCGCGGTTGAAGGGGTGGGGGAGGGGGCCAAGGCTTCCCCTCCGTTCTCCCGTGCAATCGTCAGCTGATCGATAACCAACAAACTTTGGCACGTGTGCGCTTTTTTCTTTGTGTATTTTCGTCCCTGCGCTTCGCGTGTCCCTTCGCTCCCTGCACCCGCACTCCTTAGCTTCGTCTCCTTCTTCCACGGAAGCCAAGCTTAAAATTACGAGCGTGACTGTTTTTTTGCTCGAGAGCTAAGAGCTTTATCAAGCCGTAGAATTTCCCGCGTTTTTATTTTACGAGCAAATGCCGAAACCTGGCACATCCCTTATAGAGGCAGGAAAGAAAAACGTATTTGAAGTCAAATCTAAGAATTTACCGCTGATGATTCCTATTCTTCACAGTTTTTGTTAACAAAGAACAAAATGCCGTGAAAATCGTCCTGGGAAATTTGTTTTGTTGTGCAGCGTCTCGCATTCAGTTTTCCTTCATTTGAGAGGGTAGGCAATATGCGCTCCCAAGAGTTCGAATAGTGGTATCAGAATCTTAGGTCTTGTTCAATCGTGTTACCAGTGCTTTGCCCTTCTTACTGCAATAAGTTATCGAAAGAGAATGTACCTACTACAGAAAATGTACATGCATTTTGTACCCTTCTCCTTCCTTTTATTTCACTTCCTCCTCTTTTTATTCACTGTGTGGTTCTTTTCCGTACTCTCCTCTTCCTCTTCTTCTTTTTATCATCCTCTTCCGCGACCTCTTTTCCACTTGTCTTTCCTTCCGTCATAATGACGCGGAAGATCCAATGAAATCTAATCTAATCTTATGAAATGTGAGGATTGGGAGTTATGAGGCATCTCAAGCCCCCGGGACTGATGCCGACGGAGGTGCAAAAATATTTTTAGATGCGCTTTTATCTGTTGGCAAATTGCGAGCGTGTAAGACGGAGCGTCGAAGCGAATGCGGATAAATTCATATAAATCAGTCGGCGAAACGCCCAGCTCTTTGCCAAAATGTTTGCCCCCGTCAAGGCCGTGCCAAAGCTGCATACCTCCGACGTTGTCGATTCGCAGGTGCACTCGCAGCAGTATTCGTAGGTGTAGACGAGGAGGCGCCCGACGAACGCTCAAAATATCCGCCGATTTTATTTTTATTTTACCTTTTTTATCTCTATTCCGCACACAATTTCAAAATATCTTGCGTGATGAAGAGGACGCGGACGAGGTTTAGAGGCACAGAATTGGACGTATTTCTACCAAAGAGACCTATGTGGAGGTGAGAAATATGGGGTGTGCTCGTTAGTTCTCTTTGCGTAAGAGTGAATGGGAATAATTGTGCGCCAGTGACGTCAGCGGCGACGAAGCCGCCCTTGCGGCAGTGCCGGGCTCTCCTCGGTCGGCTTTAACTCATGAACCCTGTCCACAACGCTCTCTTGCCATGCCCGCGGCTCATGAATTCCGTATTCAGTTGGCACATAGGTCTGTTTGATAGAATGTAAAATCCCGCTTTTCCGATTCTTCAAAAGGAATCACGCCCACTTTTACATTGCTTCTTATGCAGCTTCGACGAGCACACCCCATATTTCTCCCCTGCACATAGGTCTGTTTGGTAGAAGTACGTCCAATTCAAAGGTTGGCAGAGGGGGGTAGCCTTTAGGTGAAACTCGCAAGTTTTTCTCTGAATTTTAATTCATTGTTCTAGACCCAGGGCCAGATTCACATTTTTAACGCTAGCGCCCTAGCAAATTGCGCTCCCGATGGGAGGAAAGGTCTCAGACTTTTTAGCCCCCTCGAGAGCTGCCGGGGGGGGGGGGGGGG